ATCTTCTTTGATTGCAACTATGCAAGATCAGTTTGGCGAGCTTCGGGTATCCCGGATGCAACCATCTTACTACCGAGCTTCTCTTTAGAAGAAAAATCAAAGCAGTGTGTTTTTCAACACGTCTTCTCGAACTCAACATTTTAACCAACTACCATTTTTGATCCTTTGGAGAATATGGAAGAGTAGAAACATTTTATGCTTTCAACAAAGACACATTCCATGGAGAACCTGTTTGGCGCTTGCGAAAGCTGATTCAAAGGAGTGGCTGGAGGCGGAGGATTACACTACTACATAGAACCAATTTGGACAAGATCACATTGTGCTGAATCTGAAAAGGCATCATTGGAGTGCCCCGGAACCAGGTTGGATTAAATGCAACTTTGATGGATCTTTTGTCAATTCAGGAGTTCCTTCTGAAGCAGGCTGGATTTTACGAGATCAAAACGGAACTTATATTGGTTCTAGTCAAGCAATCGGACGAAACACTGAAACAACACTTGAGAGTGAACTCCAAGCACTCCTTATTGCTATGCAACATTGCTGGTGTAAAGGTTACAAACAGATTTGTTTTGAAGGAGATAACTAGAAAATGATGGAGCTGATAAAGGGGATGAAGCTCAACTTTGTTATCTTTAATTGGATCAGGACCATTCGACAATGGAGCTGCAAGTTTGACGATACTCAATTCCTAATAGCTCTTTATATTTCTATCACAATTTCATTCCTAGTGTAACCTCTGATGCGCTAGCTACATTGTGATTATACTCCTTACTTTTAATCTAATAAAATAGATGTTCAAAAAAAAATACAAATATATGTTATTGGTAAGATTACTTTGAGAGTCTAAAATACTCGTTAGACTCATTACACTTACGTGAGCAGGAAGCACAGGAAGATAAGTTTACCAGTTAATATATTTTTCACCATTTAATATCTTTTGTTTATGGATTGACAGATACCATTTACTTGAATGTTTTAAATACTATTGGTAAACACGATCTAATCAGAGACCCTCGTAGTACGGAACTCCGGTGGCGTTCAGCCAAGAGTCTCTGTTTATGAATTCTCCAACAGTAAACTTTCCCGCTTCTATCGGATCCGTAATTACCTTGAAGCCCTTCCAGTCGACTCTCTGGTTTGTGTTTGCTCCGGGGCCTCTGTTTCGATATTCTCCATAGAATATTGTGGACAATCGTCTAGTGGTGCTGCTATTCCACGGAGTCCATCCAGTAGGATCTATCAAATCATCCATATAAGATTCCATGAACACCACAGTTGAGAGATCACCCCACGGTCTTCCCAGGAACGTTTTCACCATTCTTTTTAGTGGAGCAAGATCTGAACTCGCCTTGATACTGCAGTTCTGAAATGTAAAACCCGAATGTTTGTCATCCTTGCCACGTTGTTGAGCAGTTATGACGTTACTCTGTCCTTCCGTTGGCTTTCGGGCCTCAATCTGACAGTTTTGGAAAACTGCTGATGCACGTCCGCATATGAAGTCTACGGTACCCGTGATGAAGCAGTCCCGGTAAAATTGTGTGTTTGAATGGGCATAGAGTGTATCCTGATAAGCATCAATGCGACACCGATAGATGACTACATAATTACCGCTAACTCGAAGAGCAACAGCCTGTCCCTTTGCCGGTCCAGCCGTGTTCTGTATCCAAAGATCCTGGGCCATGAACCAATCTCCATCGATGGCTGCAAGTTTATAAATCATATGAGAGTTTAATTAAGAAATACAATAATAGATAGCTTCGGACATATGATCAAGGTATTTATGTGAACGATATAATAAACCAATTCGTGATCAATTCCTTAGATACATTTGGTTTAATTCGGTTTCTTTTCAATTCACTGATCTATTATACGGTTTATACCTAAATTAAAATAATCCATATTGTCATTTTTACAGAAACAAATAATAACATTAAAAGCTTAACTATCGAAGAGCTAGCATACACAGATAAATGATAGAAATACTTTCAGAAAACCGATTTGGTTTAATACGGTTTAATTTTTTATTCAATAGTTATGTTTACCAATATATATATCAAAAATATCTAGTCCTATTTTCTTTTTTTGAATACAAACTAGTCCTATTTTCCTGTTTAGAGCAAACAACAAATTCAATATAATCTTATCCATCGGATATTTATTATTTAACAAGAAAACATACTATACTCAACGAATATAGTCCAACACTAAATATGATCAGAATCTAAAACCAAATAAAATTCGATTATGTAGAATTTGATACAATCTTTTTGCAATCGTATCTTAGTAAAAATCCAACTATCTTTTTTCCTAGATTTCATTTTAGATAAAAAAAAATGCATATAATACTATCCAAGATTTTCTCTTATCTTCACAAGTTAAGAATTGAGTAATAAAGATAAAAAAGATACTACGTACCGACGGTTGCAGAATCGAAAGTTTTAGTGCCATCTTTGAAATTTAAACTCCCGGTAAGAATTGTTGCATCGCTTCCGTCTCCAACAATTGTTAAGTGTGTTTTCAATTCACCAATGTGGACGATCTCTTTGTAAGTTCCTCTTTTCACATAGATAATGAATCGTGTTTTGCTACCCGTTGGTGCCGCCGCAACCGCCTCGTTTATGGTTTTGTAATCACCCGTACCATCTTGAGAAACGATAAGATCCGCATGACCCCTGAGTGTCTATACAATGAACAACATAGAAACTTTTAATAAGCAATTGACAAAAACAAGAAAAATGTGTCAAAATTTATATCTCCGTTGTTGCTGATTTGAAGACTTGGGGTTTTTTTTAGCTATAGATATTTGGGATGTTCTTACATGGGGCCTCATAAATTTAATGCAAAACATTTTACAAAAAACCCCGAGAAAATAAAAACTGAACATGAAACCAACTTTCAAATACAAACGTTTTCGATTAATATTTTCAAATATATCTATTGTGGCTTTTTTTTTTTATAAAAAAAATCATGATGGGCTACAATCTGCACTATCTAGAAATTTAGTAACAACAGTTATCAAAATAGTTTTTAAACCCAAGAAAAAAAAAATGAAATCAAACCAATGTTTTAAGAACAAACATTCAAAATAAAATATTTTGGGTATCATCACATCACATGGGTCCATTTTGGTTCATGGTGGGTTCTTTCTTGGATAATATTTTGAATATTTATTTTGTGAGCTCTTTTTTAAATGTAATGTAAAACATCTATCAAAACAAAATTAAGAAAAACGGGAATATCGATATTGGTTACTGAAAAAGACCATTTGTAACACACATTTAATTTAAAAAAACAAGTTATCTTGGTGTTGATATCACTTTTGGCCATGAAAGTATACATTTTAATAGTGGGATTATTTGCAAATAGAAAACATATTTCAGTTTTAAGGGACGTTGATAGATTTTGGTATAGGTGTATACATATAAAATTTCAATTTAGAGACAAACAAAATAATATATAATGTTTCAGTAATGAGATTAATATAGAACAAGTGCTTTTTTTTTTATTATTACCTTGGTAGGGTCAAAATCAGTTAACCAAGATGGGAAGTCATTGGAGGGAACCACCATTTCAATCACATCAGAGGAAGTTGAGGATGCAAGTGGATGGGAAACAAAAAAAGCTATTAGAGCCAAGATGAAAACTGAGTGTTTGAAGTTAAGAAGAATCTCCATTGTTTAAGGTTTTTTTTTTCTCTACTGTGATGACTTTAGAGAAAAGTAGAAAGGTCAATCCTTTTAAATAGAAAACTTAGAGCTTATTCTATAAGTCCAGGTATAAATGTGTCATTCATTTCATTTTATAAGAAGAAAGAACCCAACTGTAACATTACTAGCCCCTTCTGATAAAGCTTGTTCGTCTTCTCCTTCCTATATCGAGTATATTTTGCTTCAGGCTACTTTCACAGCCTATTAAATTACTACGATTATTAATTTTTCTTGTTTGCTTTGCCTACTACAGTCATTAACTCATTATCTTGACGTCATCGGTTCCAATTAATTATTTGTTTTACTTTATGATTATTTTTAAATTGCAGTTTTTTAATAAAAAAAATTGCATGTCATAATACACAAACATAATCGAGTAGTCAATAAATAAACCATAATTAGAAGAAGAAGAAGAAAAAAAATCTCAATTGAGGTCTTCGTTGGACGTTCAACTTAATTTTTTTGTTTAATTTACACATGTTCCAAACATTTTAATGCGACGTGACGTGAAGCTCGTTTACATCCTATAAGAAAAAAACGTAGTTATTTCAGCCTTTTAAAAAGGTCTATGATTTTTTTTTTATGTAGAAGTTTTCTTAAAAGCTTAGGTAAATAATTATACATGTGCATGTGAACAAACAAATTTATTAACTTAATTTCAAAAAAAAATAAACAAACAAATTAACCAAAACACAAGAAAACCATGCATTAGGATTTCATGACACCGAAATGATATGCAATATAATAAAAATATTTGTTGTACTAGAACTCTAGAGGTAGAGATCAAGACAAGTAGATTTTGACATATAACTATTATTTTGTACTTGCCCATGGAATATATAGATAGAAATAACTAAAGAATTTTAGTTGACCTTTTATAAAAATTAAAGTTTGTATTGATAAACTATAGTATACTTCAGGAATTCTGAAACTTACAGCTTCTTTTTTTTTCAACTAAGTCTCTCTCTCTCTTTAATTTATTGTAAGAAGACAACTATAATAAAAGTTTTTTTTTTCTTAAGGACAACTATACTATAATCCCTAAAAAAAAAGGTTGGACCATATGCTATAGTCCTTAAATGTGACTATCTGACTTTTTTTTAAGGTCCTCTACTTTTTAATTCTTTTAATTTGGCCACATACTTTAAGAATATCATTTGAAGCACCTTACTAATTGGGCCTAGGCCCATAATTGAAAAAAGTCCTCGCCTGAGAAGAGTTTGAGTTGACGACCCAATTACAGATTCGGCGAAACGTCTCTCTTTCTCTCTCATCTCTACCAATTTTCTCGTCTTCTACGTTTTGAGATTTGTAGATTCCGTCATGACTTCCGGCGGAAGCTCAATCGAATCCTCCGTCGTGTCGGTGGCGGCGGATAAGATGTTCTTCTGTTACCAATGCGATCAGACGATCACAATCTCTATTACTTCCTCTGCTGATCCTTTTTGCCCTCTTTGCAACGGAGGTTTCCTTGAAGAATTCGTAGAACCTAACCCTAACCCAATCCCCAATCTGATTCTCCCGATGTCGGATCCAATCTCATCTCGCTTCCCTTTCATCCCAGTAATGGACTTCACGAATCCGAGTTTCTTAGGTGAATCAATGGAGCCACAGTCTACTCAGCAACAGCCTGATGCTTTTGATCAGGTTAGATTTATCCACAACCATCTCCTGCAACTTCAATCTAGCGGTATCAATGTTCAGTTTTTGTTCGAGAATCAACTCTCGGATCAAGCTAATCCGTTACCAGGAAATCACGGGGATTACTTCTTTGGTCGTGGTCTTGAGGATCTGATTCAACAACTAGCTGAAGATGATCCGAATCGGTATGGAACTCCTCCAGCTTCGAAATCTGCAATCGATGCTCTCCCAATTGTGAAAGTGACGAAAGAGATTTTGCAATCGGAAATGAATCAGTGTGCTGTTTGTATGGATGAGTTTGAAGATGGTGTTGAAGCTAAGCAGATGCCTTGTAAGCATGTGTACCATCATGATTGCTTGCTTCCATGGCTGCAGCTTCACAATTCCTGCCCTGTTTGTCGACATGAGTTACCCACGGACGATCCTGATTATGAGAACAGGGCTCGTGGAGGTCAGACGAGTGGAGACGGGCAGGGATCGTCAGGTGAGGCGCAGACGCCGAGGAGGTTTAGTATATCGTTTCCATGGTCATTCAGGAGGCCTGATGCAAATTCGGATTCTGGTAGTGGTTCCGATATGGATACTAGAGAAGACGATTTGGACTGAGGTTTGTGATTGTCTATCCTGCTAGTTCTTGTTCTGATGTTAATTGGATTTGAGTGTTGTCGGTATGCAAAGTGGTTTACCTCTTGGTGTCTGAGAATTGATGGATATGAAAACTGATTCATTGTTGGAAGGACCTCACCTCATAAATAAAACTGGAATATGCAATTAGGTCTCTGTTGATGTGTAATATATGGTATCTGTTGAGTTGGTTCGATGGCATTAGAATTTGTATCCCGACTTAGGTAAGATTGTAGACTAAAAGTATGCAAAATTATAGTCTTTTTTTGTTTGCTTGCTCTTTTCTACTCCTCTGGTCTATGAGAAACTAGACCCAGACTGTGTGATGCATGAATCTTTGAAAGTCATAACCTTTAGCTGATGTTGCAATGTGTTTTATCTTTCAAAGTCATAACCTAGGTAGAGAAAGGAAATGTTCATTGCAGCAATGTGTTATTATGTTTTGAGTTTCTTAGTTCTCTGCTTGCCAGTTTTATATTGCAAGAGTTTATCCTTACTCTGGATATTGCATGTGATTTATTATCAACTTGTCGAATAAACACTTCTTGTTTGCCTCTGTTTTAATTGTGATGCTGAAAAAGAATTTAGAATTTTTGAGAATAATTCCCTGCTCCAACATTGGTGTGTATGTTGGAGAACTTGTACTTACCAATTATGGCACATTGCTTTCTGTAAATGGTAACAATGGTGGGATTGGTACAATTGTGTGGTCTAGCCAGGTTGAGTCGAACCGGTCTAGTGTGTTACATTTTGGCTGTAACTTCGGGCTGGTCGTAAAACCAAAAACCACAAGACTGTATCTAAACTCTGGTCAATTCTGAACCGGTTTCAATAAGACTGGCTTGCTGAAATTGGGTCGGTTAAGCTCATCATAACATATTTAGTCCTAGGCCCTAGCTAGCTCTTGTGATTGATTACGTAAGATGGTGATCAGTTACTTCATGTTTTGTTCTATGTCATAAAGCTAAAACCCAATGATGGTTTTGTTTGTGTGCAGTGTCTTTGCTTGGATTGGAAAAAAGACGTGAAGGAGAGCCATACAAAACGAAAACAAATTCATTTGTTTTACACTCAAAACTGATAAGAAGATGAAGAAGAAAACTGTAACATTTGTTGAACAAAAAAAAAAAAGAAGAAGAAGAAAACTGTATATTGCTTTTACTCAGGTTTCACTTAAATCTCTTGTAAATATAAAAACGTCTTCATCTTTCGGTTCGTTAGGGATTTAATTATACTTTAAAGTTGTAATTTTTCATATGTACTGTAATTGTTATAGTATTGTTGTTTACCACATAGTTTGTATTGTAATAATTTTTAAAGAATAATTATAAACTAATAATTTGGGGTTGATGTTAACGTCCAATAGTGCATATAGATTACCAAATAATTGTTTGTCACCGATCAGAACATATATCAAAAACTCAAAATGTCAAGGTGTTTCCTAGTATCTACTAAATGTAAGGTCTGCATCACTCTTTATCATTGATCATCATAATGTTCTTTTAGCAAAGAAAATATAAATTGTTCTTTCGGCATACTAGCTAACTACCCAATTATTATCATTGTTGAAAAATAAGGCCAAAATTGTATTATTTAGTGACATTATATTATACTAGAAATAAAAACTAAGATAATCTAAGGTTAAATAATGGTTGACTAAATAAAACAGAGGTGTGATCGAAACATGGACCAATTCTAATTACTCTATTGTTACTTGATAGGCTTTGATTTTATTTTAATATTTTCCCCCTTAAATTTATGATTGGATTAGTTGTGGAAACTCATATACTATCATACTGTATGATAAAAAAATGTGAAATTCTATTGTATTTGAACGGGTAAAATTTAATTTAATAATATGAATAAATGAGAAGTCAAAAATAGTACAACCTCTATGTAGTTCTCAAGAAGAAGACATGTATCATTTTCAAAAGAACAATTCGAAGAATTAATAATTTTGTTTTATTATAATTAAATGAGGAAAATATCATCATTAAACTCTATGATCACATAATTTGAAAAACAAAAGCTTCGGTTAAGAAAAATATTAAGGGTAAAATCGGTATTTCGACCATGTGATGTGCTGAATATTCCTGTTGGTGGCCAAAAAAGACATTCAAAATTGTCGGATAATTCTCTAATTAATACACAAAAAATTGCTAAAAATAATTATAAATCGAAAGTAAGAAAAACAATTAGACGAAGAAAGAAAACAGTTTTACTAAGCAGAGAAAAAAGTTGCATCTTCTTCTTCTTCTTCTTTTTCATTTTTTTTCCGATCTTCTCTCCAATTTTATCAGTCGCCATTGTTACTGTTAAACCCCAACTGTTATATATCTTTCTTTTTCTTCCACACAATATATATTTTTAATCTATATTCCTTCATTATTTTTTTCATTGTTTCCTGAGTTTTTTACATTCAGGATCACCAAATTTATTCACAGATTGTGAATTTTGTGTGTATGATTGAGATCGATCTCATCGGGGAATTCAATTTTCTACGAATCTGAAGTTTCTCCATTACAGTTGGTTTCCGATTGGCGGGTTTTCTCATTTTTGAGTTTCTAATATTCAAAGGTATTTTATGAGCTAGATCGAATCAATTTCACAATATTTCTATCTTTTAGTATTGCCTCATTTCTTATGAAATCGATTAAAGTTTGTATCTTTTTTTTTCTGATTTGTGCTTGTTTCTAGAAATACGAGAAATGGTCTTCTGCTGATGAAGAAAGTGTCATTATTTCTTTTAGAAATCATTATATAATTCAAGATTCAATCTAAACTAGATTGTTTTCGATCAGATCAATATTTGTATGAGTAAGATCAATCTTTAGATTTAGTTTAGTGTGGTCTTTGGTGAATATACATCCACTGGATCTTCATTTAGACAGAGAGAGAACCAGAAAGTCTCTGCATTTTCTGGTTCAGAGGATTGTCTAAATTTAGAATCTTTTTCTTTTGAGTTTGGAACTCTGTAATAGTGACTGAACATTACATTGAAAGAGCACTTTATTCTAAAGTATGGTCCCCTATTATTGTTCTATTAGAAAATTGTTTTCTTTATGGTCTCATTGCTTTTGAACTGAAAACTTCTGTCTCTTACAGGAAAATGTCACACAAGGTTAAGGCATCTATTCAGTCACTTAAATCGATGCCCGCTGACTATAGATTTCTTGGTTCACCAATCTCTGATCCCCTTGAGACCAATTTGATTATTCCACCAAATGGTCACTTAAAGAATGGGGTCAATGGAACTGAAAGTTCTGTTGGTGGAATGGATAGTTCTAATGAGGATTCACCGTATAGTGTGCGCAGCATTTCAAATGGAGAGCGGTCTTCAATTAGTGATGGAGATTCTATTTTACCCTTGCCTCAGAGTAATGATCGCAGGTGGAGCGATACAAGTGCATATGCTCGGAAAAAGGTATCGTTTAGGTTCCTTTCTTGTTGTCGGTTTTGGTCTGGTCGTTTGTTGCACGGCCAGGTTGGACTACTAGTTAGGACCAAAAGTTGGAACAAACATTAGAAAAACATTTCCTTTTCTTATGTAGAGGGTATTAAAGTGCCAAATTTTCTATTTCAGGTACTGCAATTTTGGGTCCAACTTCCAAACGGTAACTGGGAGCTGGGGAAGATAGTGTCAACTTCAGGAGAAGAGTCTGTTATTGTGGTACCTGAGGGAAAAGTAAGTGACTTTTTGAATTCCCTGAGGTAGATGTTAACTATTATTTGGAGTGTTTGATCGAAAACTATTTCTACACTTGATTCAACAGGTTTTAAAAGTCAGATCAGAGACTTTAGTACCGGCAAATCCTGATATTCTTGATGGAGTAGACGATCTCATGCAACTAAGTTATTTAAATGAGCCAGCAGTGTTGTACAACCTTGAGTATAGGTACAACCAGGACATGATATATGTAAGCCGTTTGTGCTAATATAGTTTATTTTTTCATTCATGTTGACAGTCTCTTCCCTGAATTCTATAGTAAAATGTGATAGCCTTAATTATTAGTTTTCTAATTTTTTCTTTATGGTGCTAGACAAAAGCGGGGCCTGTACTGGTGGCTGTGAATCCCTTCAAGGAGGTTCCTTTGTATGGAAATCGCAATATTGAAGCATACAGGAAGAGATCAAATGAGAGCCCTCATGTCTATGCCATTGCAGATACAGCAATACGTGAAATGATACGAGGTTGGATCATATTTCTTAATTTGTTCATTGCTTAATGTACTACATTCTATGTTTTCAGTCTTATCTTTTCCGGTTTCCATTACAGATGAAGTTAACCAATCAATCATTATCAGGTTAGTCAAAGTTTCCTCCTTATATGTTAACTGTTACAACTTAGGTAGCAGTAAGCAAAAATGTGAAGCTTACTAGTGTCTATATTTCGCTCGTGAATTATTCTTCATGCTAATATTTGCATGTTTTCGTGCATCTGTAGTATTTATATAGTGCTGCCATGGTTGGACTAAATCTATTTTCCAAAATTTATTAGTCTTGATCTGAATAGATGCATTAGTTGCGACTATGGAAACTAGTGGATCGGTTGAACCAATTAGTTCTTCCACTTTGTGCATCTTGAAGTGTTTTCTTATCACATGATTTCTTTTTCATTTAGCGGAGAGAGTGGAGCAGGAAAAACTGAGACAGCAAAGATAGCAATGCAATACTTGGCTGCTCTTGGAGGTGGAAGTGGGATCGAGTATGAGATACTAAAGACTAATCCCATCTTGGAAGCATTTGGAAATGCAAAAACATTGAGAAACGATAATTCTAGTCGTTTTGTAAGCCCTCCAAACTCCAATATACCTTTTGTTTACTCTTTTTTCTTTTACTCTGTGTCTTCAAAAGTTCCGGGTCTTTATTTATCTCATAATCTTTCTCTGATGTTCAATTTGACAGGGTAAATTGATAGAGATTCATTTTAGTGAAACAGGGAAGATTTCGGGTGCTCAAATTCAAACATGTAAGCATAAACCTTATTGCTGCTTCACACATATTGTTAATTTTTCTTTACAAAAGCTGACAGCTTTTTTCTTGTTCTTCAAATTTTGCAGTTTTACTAGAAAAGGTTAGTTCCTCTATATTTTAGCTGCTTCAGTTTCTTTCATGTTGACATATGATTCTTAATATTGACATCCTCTCTTTTCCTGTTGTCACATTTTAATAGTCAAGAGTGGTTCAATGTACGGAAGGAGAAAGGTCATATCATATCTTTTATCAACTGTGTGCTGGGGCTTCACCTACACTTAGAGGTATGATTTAGATATCGGATCAACAGTTCTCTTTTAAAGATCTTATGTTGGATCTCTTGCAAGTGAAGATAATTAGTGTTTATTGTCAGCTTAGTCGATAGACTTGGCAGGTCAATTGTTGTGATATAGAAGTTTACATATATTCATATATGGTTACTGACTAACTGGTGGAACAATATTGTTTATCTGACGTTTTGTTTCGCTCATCGTTAAATCAGAGAAGCTAAATTTGACAAGCGCAAAACAGTATAAATATTTGAAACAGAGCAATTGCTATTCAATTAACGGAGTTGATGACGCTGAACGTTTTCACACCGTGAAGGTACCTCCCTCATTCAGTCAAACTTTTTCTGTTTTTTTTCTTTCTCTGCAACTTTGAGACATTTATTTCGACCTTTTACTTTGCCGTTTCAGGAAGCTTTAGATATTGTGCATGTTAGTAAAGAAGATCAAGAAAGTGTATTTGCAATGCTTGCTGCAGTATTATGGCTGGGGAATGTTTCTTTTACCATTATTGACAACGAAAATCACGTTGAACCTGAACAAGATGAAAGTATGGCTCTTCAGTCCTTAACATTGATATACCTGCTCCTTTAAATTTCTCACGTTTTTCTCTGTTTTGTGTGAAAATGTCACCTCTATAGTTTTTGTTTCATTCTCTTGGAGCAATTTTGCTACTTAATCTGTAGCTCATATGGCAGGATGCGCAATGCAAGGCTATATAACTGCTGTATTTGTTTTTTTTTCCAGGTTTGTCAACTGTTGCTAATTTGATTGGGTGCAACATCAATGAGCTTAAGCTAGCTCTATC